CAATTAAAAGAGAATAAAGCTTGGGCAAAACTGAACTTTTTCTGTATTCTAGATAGTTTTGTGTATTTTCAATCTTAATGCAATATACTTTCCAATATTTTCCTAAAAAACGGTATCTTTGTATTCCTCAACTGTTAATGTTACTGGGAACTGTAAAAAATCCCCATATTGTTATTGACGTGAATGATAATTTTTTTAATAGGTACTAGCGGTATTGTGTAAAAAGGTGCTGTTTTAATAAGAACTAAATATACTTATAAAAGTATTTAGCATTGGTACTAGGATACCAAAAATGGAAAGTGTTTTTCTATGATCTTTTGAAAGACTTAAGTACTGGAAAAATTTGACTGTTGTAAATGTTGACTAACGTGCTGTTGAAATTGAGAAATAACAATGCACTAAAAATATAGTTAACATTTATTTTGATGATGAAATTCTGAAAAACTTATATCTTAATTTAACAATGGAAAGGCACCCGCTGGAACAATAAAAATAATAAATCAAGAAAAAATATAATTACTTTTGCAGAATCTGTTTTTTTTAATCTGTGCACAATTTCTTAAAATTGATAAGTACCGATTTAGTGATTTACGTTTTTGCTACCCAGTATGAAGTATAATAAGGATGACTATTAAAATAGATTTTAATAAACGTTTTCTATTGTGCCTAATTTATCTACATGATTCCTTTGGCCTCTGTATCCATAATAACAGCTATTCTGTGGTAAATATAGACTGTATAATAAACTTAAGGCAACTATATTGTGCATACACAAGGGATTAAGCACGATCAAGTTCTAATTAGTTCTATTTACTTGATTTAAAGATCATTCGCTTCAGAATAAGAAGTACACAAGAAACAACATTAATTTAACTAGAGTCTAAATTTTCAGTTTGTATTTTTCTGGACCCCAATCCCCCTCAGTAAGTTTAAAGCTTACTTCGAAGGAGGAGGAAATTTCAAGTATCGTTAATGGACAAAAATCGAATCTTTTAACCCACTGGCAGTTTAACAAAATTGCAAGATTAGGAGAATGTTTCTCCCCGATACACTATTTCCCTATCTAATAACATGGAAAAACCAGTTTTGCTATGCGGTGTTAAAATACGACTTTTTACGCGCAGAACCGTTAGTGGGAATTATTAAATTAGTTCCATATTCAACTACTTTAGATCCAGCTTTAAATGAAATTGATTGCGTGCAAAAAGAAAAAAAAGTTGTCATTTACTTAAAAATCACCCACAATGAAGCAAAATACGTGAACAGTAAAATTAATATTAATTGTCCAAATTTTTTACCGCTGTTCTGACTACTATAGGGACCATATTTTCCTGATTGTAAATACCCCCTAACATTTTAATGGGCAAAATCGAAATTCGTTGAAAAGAATATGTTTATTTAGAGAAAGCGAGTATTTGATTCTGTAACTTCAGTATTGGTCAATTCCAGTTAAATAATACATTTGAATTAACCCTTTAAACCATTCTATAAAAATCCGATCATTAGAATAGTAATGATACTTCATTTACGTCTCGTTAGATATGAACAATGAGGTATTGAAGTTGGTTTGGAAAACATCACTGAGAATGATCCGAAGCCATGCCATTATAATTTTGATCTTTTGCTGAGGAGATGGCTTACCCGCTTTGGTAGCCTGCCGACCTGTGAAAAGTTGATACCGTACACCCCCGGTCCCATTCGTAGGCTTATAAAAGCCGACCCAATTTTGCGTTTACGACTACTAATATTCAGCTCCCCAACGTCGTAATGTTTAACCCAATCCTGAAGGGGAAGGCTCTATCCCCTGAGCAACCACGACTCACAGGTTCTTGTTGAAGTTTATTTATGTCTCATTAAAGTTTGACAATGGAGCAGTGGCGACTATCAGGGAAATATACCTGAGGTTGAGCCGAAGACACTTCATCATAATTTTGATCCTTTGCAGAGGGGATGGCACCCCGACGACTTCCGACTGAAATCGAGAACTTTACTTCAGAACAGTTAGATCTAACGTCAATACCGCACACCTCAGCTCCCTTCGCGGACTGATTAAAGTGGTAACCCACCAGCACACTGACCGCAGCCAATGATGCTTGACTTCTGTGATCTGCGGGATGTTTGTCATCATCATCGAAATTTATCGGGGTGCCTGAGGCTGTTTACTAGCCCTTTTCCCATCATTCTTGAAATCTTTAAGCTGGTTCTTTCTCGTAATTGGAATGCAAAGTTGAGTGAAAGGAAAATTAAATATTTTTTATTTCAGCTTCAGTTACCTCACGTCCCGCAGATGACTGATCGTTAAGACACGGCTCCCAGCAGATCACCGAAGTCAAGCATCACTGACTACGGTCAGTGTGCGGGTGGGTGACCACTTGAATCAGTCTACGCAGGGACCGAGGGTGTGCGGTATTGGTCCTCGTTAAACTGTTCTACCGTAAAGTGCTCGACTTCGCGTGCAGGTCGTTGGGCTACCGAAGCGGTTGTGCCGTCCCCTCTGCAAGAGGATCAGAATTGTGATGGTATGTCTTCAGATCATCCTCAGGGGTGTTTCCCAGACCCTCGCCAATAGCCCATCGTGCAGTTCTAGTGTGACGTAAATTAACTACAACTACTCAGTTGCGTCGCTACAAAAATAAGCTACCAAGGTCAAGTAGAATGGGCAGATAGCACAATACATACAGAGTAACAGTCAGATTCGAACCCGCTACCTCCCCGTTTTACACAGCGTTTTCCGGGCGATACCGCTTGGTCAGAGAAGCCCCTGCTTAAGCATGAATTGAATGGTAGTCAACTCTACATACGAGTTGATTTGAATATAGAATTTAGTGGCACAAGGATATGCTGCTCTAAAGCTCTGTGTACGATAAAGCATCATCCCTCAGTCGACTGATTGTTAAGACACGGTTCCCAGCAGATCACTGAAGTCAAGCTTCCTTGACTGAGGTCAGTGTGCCGGTGGGTGACCATTTGAATTAGTCTGCGTAGGGACCGAGGGTGTGCGGTATTGGTCCTCGTTAAACTGCTCTACCGTAAAGTGCTCGACTTCGCGTGCAGGTCGTTGGGCTAATAAAGCGGGTGTGCCATCCCCTCTGTAGAGGATCAAAATTGTGATGGCATGTCTTCGAATTATCCTCGGGAATGTTTCCCAGACCGTCGCCAATAGCCCATTGTGAATTTATATGAATAATATATAATTCAGAATATTTAGTCAAGGGAACATACCCTGCTGCTGCAGAAGTTATTAATTTTGATTACCTAGTTCTGCAATTGTTGAGTGCTTGTATGCTACTGAGGATAGAGGACATGAACCTTGTAAGAAAATATAACATACAAGAACAATATTGTCGCATTGATGGAGAGATAAGAAATGTCATGTAATAAGGGGTTTTAGTCACTCAGCTATATGAACTTCAAAATCAAAATTCGGTTTCAAAATTGAGCTCGTGTAAACTTTGATGTTCTTCTCCTGCATGAATTATGGAATTGTAATCTTCGTTGTTTTAGTACAGGTACTACTTCATAAAGTCACCTCGTCTTTTGTACACAGCTCCGACTTAATAAGGAAATTGATTTTATTTTTGTTATATGCTCATATGTTATTGAAATGTTTAGATGCTATTCAATGGTTTTAAGAGATTAACCTGGGATCTTGTTTGGCTCTTTTTAATTACTTTGTCTTTCGTCTACCTGAGCATGTTGTTTCTAATGCCTTAATAATTCATACAGTATAAAGACTCGTTAATTGAGTTGTGGTTGTGGTTCATTTACGTCACAGCTGCACAATGAGCTATTGGCGATGTCTGGGAAACATCCCTGTGGATGATCCGAAGACACAATTTTGATCCTCTGAAGAGGGGATTGCACCCCCATTTCGGTAGCCCGACGACCAGCGCGTGAAGTCGAGCACTTTACGGTAGAACGGTTTAGCGAGGACCAATACCGCACAACCTTGATCCCTACGCAGACTGATCCAAGTGGTCACCCACCCGCACACTGACAGCAGCCAGTGATGCTTGACTTCGATTATCTTCTGGAAATCGAGTCTTAACGATCAGTCCACTGCGGGACAATTGTTAATTGAGAAATCAAATAGTTAGTAATCCTTTGTCGGATTAAACAACCGATAATATTAATTGCTAAATGAAGTTATAAATGTAGAAAAAGGGACAACACAATGAAAAAAAAAACTAATTAAAACAATACTAAATATGATAGCAATCAAATCTGCTACAGCCATGATTCGTATCAAGTCATTGGATCACTATAATCATGGCTTTTATCTTTATCGTTATTGGTATAACACATTTGCAGGCTTGTGTGCTCAGTTAGGGCTTATAAACCTTTGTCAAGTAGAAAGACACAGATAGCACAATACAGAGAAGGACATCATAAAGAATACATTCGCGCGCAGGTCGTCGGGCTACCGAAGCGGGGGTGCCATCCCCTCCGCAGAGGATCAAAATTGTGATGGCATGTCTTCGGATCATCCTCCGGGATGTTTCCCAGACCGTCGCCAATAGCCCATTGTGCAGCTCTAGTGCGACGTAAATTAACAGCAACAACAACAACATAAAGAATACATCCAGGGTTATGGAGGGATTCGAACCCGCCACCTCCACGCTTAACAGAGCGTTTGGCGGGTGATAGCGCTTGGCCAAGGAGGCCCCTAATATTCAAAGGCCTTATCTTTTAACTGATATAGTAGGAATGCCAAATATTTTCACTACTATTGCATGATGCTGATAAAAGGTGAGTTATAATCCTTCTCTCCTGATTTTCACGCCTCACTCTCGAGAATATTTTCGGATTCATGCTCATCTTACTGTTTGTTGTTTAGATGGCGAATCAAACTCACAAGCCCACATCTTCCAACATAGGAGTGAGGTACGTCTTTGCTAACTGTGATTGTGAAATAATAAAACCTAGATCACGGATAATTCTTACTTTACGCAGTTAAAAAAGTTTCATGCTTTTTTTAATTTGAAATTAGAATTAGTGTATGATAGAGTAATATCGATAAAATACGCTAGGACATAAGTGCGAGCTCTTTACAAAACTTTTTTTTCATTTTCCATACGACAGATTGAATATTGCCATTTTTACGTTTATATATAGAGTTCTTGACTTTCTACCGAATAAATTCTATATATTCCCTGCTTTTAACAGTAACTAGAAAAAATATGGATGATAAAATCAAGACAGAGGGATTCGATTCAACTGAAGTCAAAATTGAAGAGATTGACTCTGACATATCTGATGATTGGGAGTTCATGTCTAAATACGAGGCAGACCTAGAATCAGTTCCTTATTTGGATGTTCCTAAAATGCATGAATGTTTTGAAGAAAGGGATTTAATTTCTTATAATACTAGCATAGAAAGTGACAGGAAATACGATTATGGGATATCTTCCCAAAATGATCAAGAAAGCGATAGGGTTAGGAGAGAATTAGATGAAGCAATGCAAGACGTACAGCAAAATGATCAAGCAAACAATAGGCTTAGAAGAGAAATATTTGAAGCTATGCAGGATGTATATCAAAACGAGCAAGAAAACGACTGGGTAGCGAGAAAAATAGATGAAGCTATGAAGGATGTACATCAAAATGAACAAGAAAATGACAGGGATAGGACAGAAATGTACGAAACTATGAAGGATGTACCTCAAAATAATCAAGACAACGATGGGCTGAGAAGAGAAATAGATGAAGCTATACAGGACGTACCTCAAAATAATCCAGAAAGTGATAAGGTCAGGAGAGAAATATGCGAAGATATGCAGAATGTGTCTCAAAATAATCAAGAAGACTATAGGGTTAGGAGAGAAATAGACGAAGCTATGCAAGATATATACCTAAATGAGCAAGAAAACGACAGGATGACGAGAGAAATTGACGAAGCTTTTAGGGACGTACATCAAAATGAGCAAGAAAACGACGGGCTGAGAAGAGAAATAGATGAAGCTGTACAGGACGTACCTCAAAATAATCCAGAAAGTGATAAGGTCAGGAGAGAAATATACGAAGCTATGCAGGATGTACCTTAAAATAATCAAGAAGACAATAGGGTTAATAGAGAAATAGATGAAGTAATGCAAGATATATACCAAAATGAGCAAGAAAACGACAGGATAACGAGAGAAATAGACGAAGCTTTGAAGGACGTACATCAAAATGAGCAAGAAAACGACGGGCTGAGAAGAGAAATAGATGAAGCTATACAGGGCGTATCTACAAATAATCCAGAAAGTGATAAGGTCAGGAGAGAAATACGCGAAGATATGCAGAATGTGTCTCAAAATAAGCAAGAAAACAATAGGGCTAATAGAGAAATAGATGAAGCTATGCAAGATATATACCAAAATGAGCAAGAAAACGACAGGATAACGAGAGAAATAGACGAAGCTTTGAAGGACGTACTTCAAAATGAGCAAGAAAACGACGGGCTTAGAAGAGAAATAGATGAAGCTATACAGGGCGTACCTACAAATAATCCAGAAAGCGATAAAGTCAGGAGAGAAATATACGAAGATATACAGAGTGCGTCTCAAGATAAGCAAGAAAATGATAGGGTTAGGAAAGAAATAGATGAAACTAAGCTGGATAATGCATTTCAAGACGCTTATTCTGTCATTTTTTTAGGTGCGTCTAAAGTTAGTGAATTTATTAAAGGAACTGATTCCGTCACTAATGCAACAAGTGCAAAAATTGAAAGACAAAACGAACAAGAAATATTTTCCCAACATTGTGAAAGAGAAAAAAGAGATGAGTGCAAACAAGTGCAATTTCCTCAGCATGAGCAATATGAAGAAAGCAAAAAATTAAGCAGAGAAATTGATGAAACATTGCTGGATAAATCTTTTCAACGTGATCAAGAACAAAAGAATGAAAAAGTTGGAAAAGAAATGTATGAAGTTTCGCAGGATAAATCTTCCCAACCTAGTTCCGAAATTTTGATCCAAAATAAGCCAGATAAAAGTAATTGTGAAAAAGAAGATGCAGATATACAGGAAAACGCATCTACTCCAAGTGCTGCTCGATGTGAGAAATTACAAGTTCGTGCAGTTGAATGCTGTAACAAGTTGAATGAAAAAGCACAACTTGCAAATAGAGTTGTCCAACGTGAATTTCTGGTAACTTTCCATAAAATTTTAGAATTTAATTTCGTCATGCCGAACAAAGTTTCTACAGAAGCTGCAAAAGCTGATAAATTAAACAACAAAGAGAAGGATTTTGGATAAAAATAAGTCCAAAAGACTCTGAATAGTTTCGGAATGAGTAACTTGACAATCGATCTTCTGACGAAAAAGCACAGCAAAATAATGGATATATTTAGTCAAAGGGAAAATGACAAGAAGGTGGAATTGACCATGTTTCATATTTTTTGGTGTAGAACATAATTTTAATACCTTCATTAGGAATTTTTAATACAAAAATCGCATTAATTTTAGTGGTTTTAAAATATTTTGATAATTTAACAAAGTAATGACATTTTAATTATTTCATCCTGCAAATGTAATGTTTTGTCGCATGGATATTTTGCATTTTTCCAATTTAAGCATTTTTAACTTTAATTCTAATTTTATCATGATACTTCAATAAATTTTGTTTCTAAAGGTTTTTTAAAATTTGAACTATTTCTTACTAAATATTCTTCGCTATATTTAGTATCTAGTTATGCTATGTATAATTAGACAATATGTATTTTAACATTTCAGTTTCCCCCCCAGATAATATTTACATGGAGATCATAATGGATTAGTTTTCCTTAAATAAGGTCTTAATTTGGAATTTAAATTTTTTTGTAAACATTTTGAGTGAGTTAAATGTTACTGTCTTTACGGTAAAACGATGTTTTTGAAAATGCTATGCTTGATCATTTAGCATATTTTTATCTTTAAAGGTCAAACATTTTGAAATATTTTAAAAGAAATATGCAATATCTTTTTTGATTTTAAAAATAGTTATGAATTCAATTTTTTTTAAAGATTTTAATATTGTATGAAAAATAGAATATTAAATTATTATACCGAATTTAGTCTTATCGAAAAGAAATTTTTGAGAAAATGATTCAATAAATAAAAAGTTCATGAAAATGAGTATTTACATTGTTTCCCGTCCTTTTAAAATATTTTATTTTTGCTTATTTAAAATTTATAAAGTATTTTCCAGGTAAAATTTAAATGAAAATTTATAAACTAGTTAAAAAATTGAATATATTACTTAAATTCAAGCACTCCTTTTTTAAAGTAACTATATGTTTTTACAGTTTTTACGACTATTGGAAAATGTGTAATATTTTAAGAAATATAGTTTAAATTTACTATTACTGAAAGTATGGTCTATAAAGTTTTCAGGATTTTTCTGAATAAACTTTTTTCAGATTAACAAACTTTCTAAAACGCCAGCGCATGGTTAGAAATATTTGAAATTTGAAGGGTAATGCTTTAAAAAAAATAGTGAGACAGCATGAAAATTGAAATCATTCAATGCAAAGAAATGTATATGAAACTGATTTACTATTTACATTCAGGTTTTAATATAAGTTTTACGGTGATCTTTTGAAACATATCAATTTAAATTTTAATCTGCAAGTTTCGAATTCTTTTATTTAGCAATTTTAAGTACTTTAAAATGAAGAAATATTGAATTAATGGTATTTTGAAATGAAGACTAAAACTTGTGTAATAAAGAGTCTCATAATTTGAAATTTTATGTTTTAAAATAGAGTTACACATTGGAAACTAGCTATAAGCATTCAAAAACTTGCAATAAACAAATCAATGCATTTTAACTACCTACTTCAAAATTTCTGTTTTGTGTTTTTATTTAAAACTTCTACGATATCCTTGTATAATTCATGAAACATATATATTTTAAAATGAAAATTTGAACCTACGAATATTGGAATGTCTAAAATTTGCTTAAATAAATGGCTTTTTAATTTTAAGGAAATAAGCTGAAATGCGATATGAAATATTTTTTACATAAACCAGAATTGCAAACTTCTTTTATTTTAACCTTTCTGAAATACTAATGCTCATTACAAACTTTATTTTAAATATTATAAATTTCAATTTCAATTATATTCTATTGAAATATAATTACTTTAATTCAGAGAGTAATATTTTAAAGAGAAATTCTTGATGAAATACCTATACTTTGCCAAAATGTTTAAATTTAAAGAAAATTTAATTTTAATCTTTTCTATTAGATTTACCGCTACATGCCATAGTGTTTTACAAATTAAGCTCAAAGTGAATCTTTTATTATAAGAATGAAATAGCAATTGCAGCAAGTTTCTCAGTAAGAATTAAACATTCTTTGTTTTAAAAAAATTCAAAATGTCGAGTCTATAAATATTATTGTGGTCACAAATTCGTCGTTTTTTTCTTGTGAAATTAAAAAAATACTTAAGCTACTCGTAATGGACCTAAAAATTTTTTTTTTCAAACAAGAACTTAAAAAAAATTTAGTTTTCGAGTTCAAAAATGTTAAATTTAAAATTGTAGTAGAAAAATCATAATAAAAAATAACACTTGAGTTTCCCAGAATCTGTATAAAAATTTTAATTTAACCAGATATCTACATAACTTGTTGCTGCTGTTTCTAATATTGCTTGCAACAATAGCAAGTCTGCCTTGTGAAACCGAGCAATTTTAAGGCAGAGGGTGCGTTTCTTGTTTTTCAGTAGTGCTATTTATGGCCAAGAATTCGACTCCAGCCACGCACACGTCACACCCGTTTAGAGGGCGGACCCATTCATTCATCCACAGATCGAAATTTTTGACCTGGATCAGAGAACGATCGATCACCAATCTGGAACCCCGAGAGGTTTTGATTTGTTTATGGGAACATAGAAGACTTTGATCCTCGACAGATTTAACGTGCATCAGTCAGCATTTACTACACGGGCTACATAACTTAACGTAAAGATTCGTTTGAAAATTGAATATATGCGCATTTATTGATGAAAATAAATTTTTATGTAGGTTACGGTAGATCTAAATGTTAAATTTTATTATTGTTTTATTGTTACTTTACATATTAAACTTTTCTTGAACTTTAAAACTAAAATTTGTTTTGTATTTAAGCTCTTAAAAAGTGTTGTACATTTTTTCCCTTAAAACCGAAGCTATAAGCTCATTCCAGGTAACTTGCATATTTTTTAATCGGAGAAAAAATATTTCTTAATAAATATGTGACTTAAGTTGTAATTTTTTTACAGATTAGGAATATCAAAAACAAGTTTTCCACGATATACCAATCTACGGAGTAGTTAAGTAAACGCACTCAATTACGTTTTGTGTGTGGATTAAAATTCCCATATTTTTAATAATCATTCCAGATAAAAATATGTCACTCATGTTTCAATGAAATAAGTCTTTGTGGATTGAAAGAATATATTATTGTTAAGTGGTGGAAATGAATAAGATATTTATTAAACCATACCGTTTATAGCTTCTACTTTTTTTCAATTTAGTTCATAAATATATGCATGGTTTGTGAAATTTTAAGAGGATTATCAATTAAGCAGCAAAGCAAAGTAAAAATTTTATCTCAGGAATACAGATCTTTTTTAAACCTTAAGAAAGGGAGAGCAGTATTTATGATTTTAAATTTATCTCAACACATGTTTAATAAGGGTCCCGCAGTGGACTGATTGTAAAAACACCGTATTTTTGCACTCTAGGGCATGGGTCGCTATAATTTTTCGAAATCTCCATCGACCCCCATAAAAGTAATTTTCTGTTAATTAAAATAAAACTCTATTAGATACTGTGTTAGTACATTTATTTTATGATTTAAACCTTTATTAAAGTAATAGTACATTGTGTAACAATAGTTTTATGAAAAATGTATTAATGTTCAAATTTAAATACCTTAATATTTATTAAATAATAAGCAAAAATAATAAGTAAAGTAACTACAGATTTATTGCTTCTTAACCAATGAGATGAGTGTGCCTGGTGTTTTTTTGCAAGGTTCGCTATATTGGGCTCAAAATTGGTCAATTTTAATTTTAAGTCTCCTCGTAACTCCACATCTAATTTATTTCTGTACTTAGTTAAGATTCAATGTACGTGACTGAAACTGGCTTCAACCATATAGGAACTTGGAAAAGCTAGCATAAAAAGGCTGAGCTATTTCATAAAGTTCTACATATTTTTGCATTATATTTCTTCAAAATTTACTCATTGTTAAATTTTTAAAAAGCGTCTTTGCTTTAAGATCCGATAAAAACTCAGCAAACTCATCTTGCAGGTTGATGTCCACGTTTTTGATGATGCGTTTATTAATTTATGTTCTATAAAGAAACTGATATTAAGTCAATTATAAAAAATGTTCAGAAATTTTACATACTCAATTAGATATATGTGATTCACGTATTAAGAACTGTTTTTTCTTTGACCCCCATTCGACCCACTGACTGAGATCGACCCCCACTTTTGTTAAATAGACCCCTGGGGGTCTATATAGACCACTTTGGCGACCTCTGCTCTAGGGTTACTGGGATTTCTTTCACAATCTTCTTCCTTGCGAATCTGCATATCTGAAATATAGTAATGATGCAGAGTATTTTACACGCAAATGTAAATTACCCATTACAGATGGAGATTATATGAATATGTAGGAGTCCCCTACTACCGAATTTAACAATATAATTATTTTTGATTTTTTAATGATAAAGTCCATTGAATAAGAAAGAGACCATTTTAAAAAATTACCTCAAAAAGTTCGAAGTAATCATAACCACTATATCATGAGTTTTGCCCACGTGAGATGTCGGAATTGGAAATAATACTTGTTAAAACTTTAATCTCGAATTTGCTAAAACAATAGCTGACATTGCATTTTAGCGAAACATATTTATCGCAGTTTTGTCTAGTGTAGTTTCGCTCTAGGATGGAGTGCAGACTTGCAGTTTTTCCTAATTGCTGTCAATATATGTTAGAAGTAAGAGCAATTTGATAATT